TGTGTGTGTGTGTGTGTGTGTGTGCGCGTGCGCGCGCGTGTGTGTGCACGTGCACGCGCACAAGCGCAAGCACGCATGCGCTATGATGCATGCAGCAAGTGTCACCCATGCTGTCAGCAGCTGCCTCGCACTCTGCCAGTTGTGCCTGCCCTGGCCGCGGTGCCCCCATCACTCAGCCGTAACCTCTTCCCCTCACCTGGGCGCAGAAGTCGTTGCCCAGCGCCACCAACTCTTCCTTCGTCAACTGCTCCAACTTCTCGGTCCTGGTGATAAAAGGAAAGATAGGTGCCAGCTGGTTCACGCGAGTGCCGCCGTGCGCGCGGCTAGGGGTGGTGTGACCGGCCTTGGCACACAGTGCGCCCCAGACGTCGCCCAGTAGCTCGCCGCACGACGTAGTCCGGCTGAGTGCTGCGCAGTTGCCAAAACTCCCCCCTACACATCAATACGAACACACACACACACACACACACACACACACACACGGACGCGTGCGCCGCGTTCTCGCACCACTCGGGGTCCTTGGTCTCCAGGGTCGCGTTAAGGGACCGCAGCAGGTCGTTCACCTGCGGCGGCAGACCGGAGGCAGGGCCGGCGGCGCGCACATCTCCAGCTCAGCATGCACGCCGAACAATTTGATATCGACAGCTGGGCCGGGCGTGCTGATCAGCATTCATGGTGGCGGACGCTCCCCGCCTCGGCCCCGCGTGTCTGCCTCAACACGCGTGCCGGCCGCTGGCAGCCCCTTCGCCCGCCGCCGCCTCCGCTGACTTCTGCACTCAGGTTCCCGACGCCGCGCCGCGGCCGACCGGCAGAGGCGCATTCCACAGGCATTTTGCCTACGTACATGCTGATTCAGAACAGACCTATCCCACCCCATGAAAAACACTGAGTGCACATGTCAAATGTGCATGCGCGTGATCCCCCAACGCCATCACCCCTCACCGAGAGGCAGCCGTAGTACTCGCCGTCCTCGTCCAGGACGGGGCAGGACAGCACGTTGGCGCTGGACAGGACCTGGAGTGGAGGTACGCAGCAAAGAGAGAGGGTGTGTGTGTGTGTGTGTGTGGATGTGCACGCACGCACGAACGCAATTGTGTGTATGTGCAAGCTTTGCGCATGCACGCACGGATGTGGTGTTGGGAGGCAGCAGCAGTGCATGGCACCGCGTGAGGCTGCGGGCACCGCCCGGGAGGCACGCCTGCGGGCCATGCCAGCCGCCCGATCCCAGAAAAAGGCAAGCCCCGCCTGCATGAGGCCGCGGGGGGCGGATGAATGTGTGCACCTGAAGGGCGGTGCCAACAGTGGTCCACTTGTTGAGGGTCTGCAGGGCCGGCTGGTCGTTGGTAAGCAGGGGCGCCTGCAGGGGGCGACGGGTGGGTGGGCAGGGGCTGTGAGGACTGGGGGGCGCCGGGCGACGGAGCTCTGGGACGGCGGGCGCGCAGGTGTTGGGGCCAAGGGCGTGCAGGGGCGCGCTGCATGCGGGCGACTCGCGAGGTGGTCAGGATCGCGCGCCATGCATGCGGCAGTTCGCATGGGCGTTTCGGCATGGCAAGGCCGCGCTGTCCAGCGGCATGCAGCGAGGTGGCACGAGATCACTTGCGGCAGCCCCACCGCACCAGGTGATTCTCCCGCAGGAACCGCTTGGCGCTTTCGAATGCCATCTTGACGGGCTGCTGCTGCGGCTGCAGGGG